AAAAAGAAGAATTAAATCTCGAATGAAAGGATTCACAGGCACTTATGGTCCTCGCAATAGACGGATTCTGATTAGACCATATGTGTGGTGGAAATAGAGCGCTATCGAAAATGTAATTTTCCAGTAAATAATCTGCATATATATCAAGTGATGCGTTTATAGGTTTATGTGACATTAAATCATAAAGAAAGCATTCTTCAACTTCTGCTGAATTTAAATAAGTTAAACCAAACGTATGCCTTAAACATTTTCCAATTTCTAAATTTGTATCCTTATATTCTTGTACCAAACCCAAAGATTGAATTTTTTTAAAACAGTTTTGGTGTAAGTGAAAACGGCATCCACTAATTTTTGCAGTGGGCCACATATACAATAAAGCACAGTGAATTGCTTTTTCAAAGTCCACAAATATTTCAGTTGGCTCTAATGATAATTGAAATGTTTCAAAAATCTTAGACCTTAATAAAGAAAATAAATTTTTGTATGTCATTGACAATTTGTCCTTTAACAAACAGTATGCTAAAGGAATATAATATCCATTTTCCAAGCCATGTATAGTAAATAATTGTATCACCCATATACAAAGTTTTTAATTTACACAACAAACGAATATTTGTCTCGCATGAAAATACAATTACATTTAATTCAGGATGATTTAAAAACAAAAAACTTTCATTGCGACAGGTTTTAGGAGAATAATTACTAACCGCGTTATGGACTTCTGATATGCTTCTTGGTAACGGACCTGGTAACAGTTTACGACCACAGTTGTAAATGTTATTTCTTATGCTAGCTATGTCAGGAACCGTCAGCAAATTGGCATCACACTCAGCAACAGCAGTTCTTGTAATTTTGGCAGGCTTTTCCGATATGTCCTCTTGGGCTTTTCTTTTACATGCATTGGTTACCATCTTTACTTCAAGCTTTTTTGGATCGGCTTCATGATTATGTACCAAATCGCTTCTTGTGATGGTGAGCTCCTCACAGTCTATTGTAAACACTTTTGCGGAACACTTAGTGTTTCTTTGGATGCAGCGCCAAAATATCTCGCCGCTTTTCAACACTTTCTGTTTCGAGAACGAATGATGCTCCACCACTAATAAATCTCGACCACGGGAACTTTTTATCAAAATCATTTTTTAAATATCCGTATACGTGCACAAGTCAACGTCAAACAAGAAATAAATTATAACTGAAATAATTTAGTCACAAGTACACAAGTGCCACGTCCCCCGCCGTGACAATAAATATTGGGAAAACCCGCTTGTCCTGCTTGGGTGCAAATGTCCATCGCCGCTAATTACCTACCTACCTGCTTTACGCCACTGTGTCGAAATTTTCTATAATAAAATTTGACCCTTCGATTACCCCAGGTACAAAGACAATTTGGTGTCGAAAGTTCGCCCGCCGACATGTATGATAAATAATATAATACCAATTACTTCAAACACGATAAAACGTTTACTTTAAACAAATGTTTGCCGGAAAGTGACAACACAATTAGGCCTTTAAAAGCAGGTAGCTACCTACGACTTGCTACGCTAATAAAATAATAAATTACTTGGAAAACCTATCATTATTAAATTCAGGTATTAATGGAAAAGTTCATACAGATAAAATGAGCGATAGATGATGAGCTCGTTTATATCCAAGTTATAAAATTATAACTTGGAAAAAAAATTTGAACTTGTATACAATTTATTTTTAAAATATGCAAAATAAATCGTGTTTACCTAAAATATGCAATGTTGTTTGAAGTGATCAAAAATATGCAATATATGCATCTATATGCACTTTGTATATATTCAGCTCTGTATTCTGAAGTAATTTATGCTGGTGGACAACGCACTTCATATTAATCCCAATTTAAACTCAAAACTCCATTCTTTTACAAGGAAAAAAATGTTTTTGGAGTATTTTTACATTGTCAATTACATCTAACAAATAGATCATTTTTAATTGCACTCTGTTATCATTCAAAAAGTTATACAGATCTAAGAAGTTACTCTTCCGATTTTTTTGGGCAGTGTAGGGTAGATCGGGGCTAGTTGTGACAGGGGCATGTTGTGACAAATAGTTTTATAGACTAACCATAGGTAGCAGCGTCGCCCGGTTACCCAGAATTCCACGTCCGCATGTCCTCAGTCTGTTTGTGTAGTTTGGTTGTGATGCTATGCATTTCTGCCGCTTTATAAAATTATATGTCATTTCGTTGTAACGAAGTAAAATTTTGCTGTTGTCTTTGAATTGTTATTTCACTTTCAAACCACAAGGTAAGAAACTTATTCTAGTTGTAGTAGATAGTTTGTTTATTTCTCTCTAGTAAGACACAGTTTGGTTTCTATACGACGTGTCAAGGTCTGTGCAAGTGGCTTTATGTAAAATGGCGTACGGTGGGGCTAGTTGTGACGAAAGGCTTGGGGCAGATTGTGACAGTGTCACAACATGCCCCTACTAATTTTAATGCATGTTTATGGGTTTGTTACAGATAATGGTGAGAAATTATAAAAGGAAAACGGAACGTGGTCGGAGTAATATAAACAGTTACGAGTCGGCTTCGTTAGATGTTAAGTCTGGATCGTGTAGTTTAAGGCAAGCAGCTGAAAAATATGGCGTTAACCGGATGTCCTTACTTAGATATATAAAAAAACAACAAACCAATCCAGATGGAGTGGTAGAAATGGGTTACAAAAGACCTCGAATGATATTTTCACAACAACAAGAAGAAGAGCTCTGTGAATATGCTGTTCAGGCAGCGAAAATATTTTATGGTATTAGCCCAAAAGAAATGAAAAGTTTAGCTTTTGAATTTGCTATAGCGAACAAAGTTCTTGTGCCTGAGAATTGGGTAGCAACAAAACATGCCAGTAATGATTGGTTTACAAAGTTCATGCAACGTAACAATAATGTGTCTATTCGTGTTCCTGAGGCTACCAGCTTAAGTCGGAGTACAAGTTTCAACAAGCACAATGTCGGACTCTTTTTTGATAACCTCGAATTAGTATTAAGTCAAAACCATTTTACAGCTAATGATATTTGGAATATAGACGAGACAGGGGACTGGGACTGTCCAAAAACCGGTAAAAATCATAGCGAAGAAAGGCGAGAAAAGAGTTGGTGGTGTCACTTCAGCTGAGAGGGGGACCAATGTTACTATGGTTCTTGCTATTAACGCAGAGGGTAACTCAGTTCCTCCTATGTTCGTTTTTCCACGTAAGTTTTACAAGGAGCATTTTGTACGTGATGGGCCAGTAGGTTGTTGTGATACTGCTAACCCAAGTGGCTGGATAACAGGCCCGGACATTTTGTTTTTTATGAAGCATTTTGTAAAAAAAGTAAGGTGCTCAAAGAAATCACCGGTTTTAGTTCTGTTAGACAACCACAGTGTTCACCTATATATCGAAGTCCTTGACTATTGTACAGAGCACGGTATTACTCTCTTATCGTTCCCTCCCCATAAAACAAATAGACTTCAACCACTGGATGTTTCCGTTTTTGGTCCATTTAAGAAGTTTTTAAACGACGCCATGTGTGGATGGATGAAATCTCATCCTGGAAACACAGTCTCAATTTATGACATCCCAAGTATAGTGAAAACAGCATTACCTAAAGCTGTAACACCAACAAATGTTCAGGCAGGATTTCGTTCTACAGGAATATGGGAATTCAATAGAAACATTTTTAATGAAGAAGACTTTCTGTGTTCTTCGGTGACCGACCGACCTTTGAATAGGCCTATTGACATCGTAGATGGTAATGAGGAAGCCAGTGCTGGGCAGCTTAAAGAGTTTCAGCATCTCGATGAACCTGAACCGTCGTCATATTATGCTAACCAGCCAGGACCCTCCCATACCTATCAACCAGGACCATATCAACAAGGATCATCGCAGGCCAACCTACCAGGATCATTCCATGCCGAAGTTCTGCCTGTCAGCCCTATGGATATAAGACCTCTGCCAAAAGCTGATCCTCGAAAAAATAAAAAACGCAAGAGCTTAACATCTGCAATTTTGACTAGCACACCTGTCAAGGAGACAATTCGCAGTGAAGAGTTAAAGAGGAAGGAAACAATAAAGTGCAAAGAGGATAAAATAAAGAAAAAATTATTTGACTCAAAACAACTGTTGCCTAAGAAAAAAGCAGCGCCAAAGAAAGAGACCGCAACAAGAAAAAGAGAAGACAGCTCAGAAGAAGAGGAAGAAGATTACTTTTGCTTAGTTTGTATGGGACCATATAAAAAGTCTAGGTTAGGAGAAGACTGGGTGCAATGTATGGAATGCAAGAGGTGGGCTCATGTAAAGTGCACAAAAGATGATCTTTATTATGTTTGTATCAACTGCCACTCTTCAGAACTACAAGTAGAATCAGCACAAATTGACGATAGCGATTAAGTTTTTTATTTTACTTTAAATTCACTAGATGTTTTTCTACACATTTGTTTCTTACATAAACATTTATCAAACATTTATGTATCTATACTTAACTATAAAATAAATTTTTTATGGAAACTTTGTTATTATTCTCCAACTAAAGTTTATTATATTTAAAAATATTTACTGTCACAATCTGCCCCAAGTTCGTCACAACTTACCCCATATTGGGGCAAATTGTGACAATATGTGCATTTTGTAAAACTATTTACATACTGTAAGGTATTGCTTAAAAATTGCTGATGTTCCCAAATAATGATTCCCAATTAAAAATAGTACCTCATTAAAGTAATCTAACAGCCCTAAAAATTACGAAAAAAATGTTAAAAATTATTTTGTCCAAAGTGGCACAACTAGCCCCAGTCTACCCTACCTTTTTATAAAACTATTTAATACAAAAAACAACATCAAATATTTTTAAAATATTCGTTTTTTAAAAGAAATTAAAAGAAATGGTGTTTATTTACCTAGTTTGTTTAAAATCTTAAACTAATAATATCATACTTTTCTATTTTAATCTCAAGGTTTTTCAGTAGACAGAAATAATGGGAAAGTATTGATCTCACTTACTTGACTGATATTTTCGCATACAACCTGTTCAACTTCAACCTCCGATTCAGTTGTATTAGCATAAGGTATGAATAGACAACAAGAGCTGCACCCACAACCACGCTTTTTCTTAGCACTTTCTGTTTGTTGCACATTTATTTCGGGCATTTTACTTTCTTTTCTGCACTCGACGATATATTTCCACGATTGTTGGTTTCACACAATGATAAAAATAGCTGCTGTAAAACCTATTAACCTCGATTTCGTCTGGAACCTAATAATTGTTAGTAATTCGTATGACTAAATCATTGTTTATTTGTATTGGGCGGGACACTATTGTTTGAATTATTCATGAGAAAGTGATGCACTTTAGACAACGATTACATGAAGGTTAATTTCAATATACTTGTCAATTCCAACTAAAACATATTTTTTTCTGATTACCAACTAACTTTATTCTAATTTATTTCAAAACTCTACAAATATTTATACTGTGTAATTGGTATAAAGAGAGTGAAATTATTTGTGTCAGTAATGTTAAAATTTTACAGATCCGGATTTACTTATCTGTTTAAAGATAAACAAGGTCAATAAAAAATCAAGGTAAACAGTGTTATTGAACTGAAATAGATCTTTTACTGTTTACTTTTAAATTTTAAATATACAATAGTATATTACATAACGAGAGTTGTAAGAAGCTTATTACATGCGAGTAAAAAAGTTGCGCGCGAGCCGCGTAGCGGCGAGCGCAGTAATTTTACAAGCATGTAATAAGCTTACAACTCAAGTTGTGTACTATACTTTTTCTACCATTATTTTTGTTTATAAAAATAAAAATTAAATTATCACTATATTTACATTGACAGATTAATAATTTTTAACTTGTCAAAACAACGCCTGTTAATTCGTTTCCATGGTAACTCGACCAACTGACTTACAAGGCTTATGTGATATTACACATTTTTATAGAACTGAAGCGTAATTTTTTTTATTACGTGCTAGTCATTACGTGTCAGTATCTGTTATGATGCATTTACTTAGCATCCAAATAGTAGGTAATATACAATTTACTAGTAAGAGAGTAGAAAAATAAGTATAAAACATCAATTTTAGTGGTCAATATGTTGTAATATACTTACTCCTCAATCATGAACGTCATTTTTTATATATTTCCATTTCCTTAGTCTCCTCATTTTTGCACGTTATTATGACATACTCGTACAATGAAAAATTGGAATGATTATGCATCTAACCGGAATTATTTTTGTGTGCGGTTATTTCACTGCTGTTCCAAATCTTCAAAAATGTAGCTATCGCATTCTTGGCAGCAAATGTGACAAAAGGGAATGACAAAATGATAAAAGTCACTTATCGTATATATCATAAGAGAGAAAATTTTCAATCAATCGAGTGATTTTGTCAAAATTTCATAAGCGAAAATTGACAACAGGCAACAAACTTACACAACATTCAACAATTAATGCACCATATTAACGAAACATAATCTTTATATATTTGTTAATAATATTAAATCTACAATTATTGAAGTTATAGAAGTTTTTCCATTCTTTTCTACCAAAGCATGATTTTGTGTATTATTGACCTGTAACAGTTGGGAACTCGAAGGTCCAGCTTCATTTGTTGTCCTGAGATTTTCGGTCAACTTTGGGTGGTGACTGGTGGAATCCAGCTGCAGATATGGTTTTAGAGAGCTTGCATTTGAGTGATCCGTTAATTTAATTAACTCCTGTTCAGAAAAACCTTTCTTGAACAAGGCTGACACAGCTGAAGATCGATAAGAATGGTTTATTTTATGTCTTTTTGTGTCTATTCCAATTTTTTCTGCTGACATTTTTTCCCACTCAAATACGGTGTTGATTCCAAGTGGACAGATTTTGAATCAAGATACATGCTTCCAGTTGGGGTGAACGCTAAGAAAGAGTCTGTCTGATAAAATCTTTGATTCCATTTTTTCTATTATTTTCAAAAATAATCTAACTGGGCATAAGTTTTCGATTGATGAAGTTCTTAGCAGCCATTTGCTGATTACCAAACTTTTTGAACCGCCTTGATTTGTTATGGAAAAAATAAATAAATTCTCCCATAACATCAAATTTTTTTATCTGAAAAAAGTAAATCTTGCAGTTTACGGTGTCATTGCCTCTCCTCCTCCTCTATCCTTTTTCGTTCGTAAGGATGTGATGACGTTGTGGTATCTGAGAAATAGTTGCTATCCATTCTTCTCTCTCCTGGGCGCGGTGTGCTGTCTCAGACAGAGAGTAACTTTATTTGGTGTGAAAATCGGAGTGGCGATCTTCCTCGAGTTCTTTTACCATTATACGTCGTAAGTTGAACTTTTTAATGGTCCTAGTTTCTGAGGCATTATCGTTTCGGTACCGATAGGAAAGGTAAGCGTCCGTACTAGACGCAGTTTCGTGTTCCTGGTTATGTCCGTATCTTTCCACATTTTATTAACTTTGGCCGTTGCTGATCTGGCCATTGTAAGGCATCGACGTATCTCTTCTTCGCATCCACCATTGTTTGTGATAACAGAACCTAAGTGATTGAAACTGCTTACCACTTCAAACCCCGCTACGTTTCGTATTTCCGGCTGGTTATTTCTAATTCGATCGATTATCATTACCTTCGTCTTCTGTACATTAATTTTAAGTCCATATTCACGACTAGTGAGTGATAATAGTATCTAGTCCATGATGTATTCAAGGTCATTTGTTGATGATGATGATATCTGTTCATGATGATGATACGAAAGTGTCGTCAGCATAGCGGAGATTGCTGATTTTTCGGCCTCCGACTGATATTCCTCCTTGCCCTTCGTCGAATACAATGCGCATGCTGTGTTTGATATATATATATATATATATATATATATATATATATATATATATATATATAACACTGTTTTTGATGGGTTGGAGTCAATAAAAGGGGCTATTTGTTGACTATTTTTTACTCGAGCTTTCAATTTGTGATTACAATTTTTATCAAGAGCTTCTAAGAAATACAAAATATCTTACAAAGTTGAACTAGAAATAAAAAATTTTTGTTAACTCACCAAATAAAATTAGTTTTTTGTATAAAACTACTGCTTACATATTAAATACAAAAAATATTAATAATAAAATGTCTTATTCTAATAAATGATTCTCTGAAAAATTTTGATGAAGTTTCTTAAGAAAAAAAATTGAATTTGTAAACAAAAATAGAATAGTTACAACCAGCCTAAATGTCATAAATACTAACTTAAAAATTTTTATTTTTGACATATTGTCAAAAATAAAATTTTGTTTAAAAAATTCTTCTTTGTTTAGTAACAAAAAAGAAGAAGATTTATTCACCATTGATAGATGCCCGAAAAAATGTAACAAATACATGGAAAATTCAAAATGAAAATTTTGTTACATTTTTTCGGGCATCTATCAATGGTGAACAAATATTCTTCTTTTTTGTTACTAAACAAAGAAGAATTTTTTAAACAAAATTTTATTTTTGACAATATGTCAAAAATAAAAATTTTTAAGTTAGTATTTATGACATTTAGGCTGGTTGTAGCTATTCTATTTTTGTTTACAAATTCAATTTTTTTTCTTAAGAAACTTCATCAAAATTTTTCAGAGAAACATTTATTAGAATAAGACATTTTTTTATTAATATTTTTTGTATTTTATATGTAAGCAGTAGTTTTACATAAAAAACTAATTTTATTTGGTGAGTTAACAAAAAACTTTTTATTTCTAGTTCAACTTTGTAAGATATTTTGTATTTTTTAGAAGCTCTTGATAAAAATTGTAATCACAATTGAAAGCTCGAGTAAAAAATAGTCAACAAATAGCCCCTTTTATTGACTCCAACCCATCAAAAACAGTGTTATATTTTTTCCAAACGAGTCACAAACACTTCTTTTTTCTGACTCTTATATATATATATATATATATATATATATATATATATATATATATATATATATATATATATATATATATATATATATATTAAATAACGTAGGAGTTTTAGTTTAAAATTATCGGCGTATATGTTGTTGACTCTTACGTTTGCTGTGTTGTTGATATACAGTTGTTTCAGTAGGTACATTAGATTATCGGTTCGGGGGTACCCATTTCTCTCAGTATTCCCCACATTGTATGCCACTTTACATTATTAAACCCTTCCGTGTAGTCGACGAAGCACAAATATATTTCTAGATTAAATTTTGTAAATTTTTCTATAATTTGTCTGACATTGAGAATTTGTTCTCGTGTGCCTGTGCCTCTTCTAGGGACAAATCCACATTGTTCTTATGGGATCTGTGATAGAAGTATTGATTTTAATCTCTCGTTAATTATAGTTAGCAGAACCTTACCAAAGCTTATTATGGAAGGGAAGATAGAAGGAAAACGAGGCATCGGAAGAAAGAAATACTCATGGCTTAAAAACATAGGAGATTGAACAAATCTCGATGCCCATGCACTTTTTAGAGCCACACAATATCGAGAGCAGTATTCCAGAATTGTCGCCAACATCCACTTATTGGATAGGGCACCATAAGAAGAAGAAGCAGAACCTTACTCGCTTGGAAGATCAGGGCTATAGTGCGGTAGTTATTACAGTCAGTTGGTGAGCCTTTCTTATAAATGGGTATGAGAGTGATCATCTGGCCATTGTCCTGTGTTATTACACAGTTTGAACATTACTTCAATTTTATTTCAAATACTGATTTCATTACACAGTTTGAACATTACTTCAATTCCTATGTCTCCCATTTCTTTAAGTGCTTCCGCCGTAATTCCGTTTTCTCCTTATTGTCTCTCCAAGCAAGTTCAAATGAGCAAAGGTGAAAAAACTTTTTTGTGCTCCATGGGGGGTTTCTTCGTCGTAGCTTTGGATGATTTAATAGATCTTCGCTGGATAACGCTTTTGAACTGAGTTTTCTTTTTTCTTGAACACTTTTAAGCTGCCCATTTGAACACTTGCACATTTGAAAGATATATCTATGAAAGGGTCGATTTAAATATTTTTAAATATTTTTTATTAAGTAACCGATATTTTTTAAATATTTTCTCCGTAAAATATTTTTCTGCCACCATGTTTGCTGCAGTATTTCACATTGACTTTACAGACGACTCTTTATAGTCTTCGCCATTGCCGTTTTTCATGTTAAAAGCTAAATTCTCGAGAATTTTTGCTAGTTCCGTTATGGTAGTAGATCTTTCAATCGTAAAATTTCTCACCCGTAGGAACACCGAAAATTGGGTCCAAATAGAGCTTCTGGACCTCTGCGTATTTAATGGGACATTTTCCGAAACCAAATTTTGGATTTCTTCACCTGACTGGCATCCAAATCTTGATATTTGTCTAGATTCATTATATCTGTCCAAAATTGATTATGCCTTAATGACGTTTGTCATACTGACAATAATAGAATTATCAGACACCTTCGTGACAAATCTGTAAAAATTT